ACCCCCACCCAGCCCACCCACCCCCACCCACCCCCACCCACCCCCACCCAGCGCCACCCACCCCCACCCAGCCCACCCTACCCCCACCCAGCCCACCCACCCCCACCCACCCCCACCCTACCCCCACCCAGCCCCACCCACCCCCACCCAGCCCACCCTACCCCCACCCAGCCCACCCTACCCCCACCCAGCCACCTGCAGCGCTATGTTGAGGATGTGCAGTCCGATGCACAGAGCCGCCGCCATGACGAAGGCTCGACCGAAGCGGCGGTTGGGGTCCGCCAGGGACTTGAAGGAACACAGCAGCAAGATCAGGGCCCAGGCCTGAGGCACACACATACATACACTCAGTTTGCATACATATACCCATGTTAGGCACTACTGGTAAGGCACGGACCATTGCCCTCGGGAGATCCCGGGATCGCGACCTGTAAGTGTCGAAAATCCTTCCGATGGTGGAAGGTAAAGTGCCCCTAGTCGGTGGACGGTGGTGACCCGGGATAAAGATGACCTGCGAGCTGACTAGGAATGGAATTGAGCCGCCGTCGATCCGGCAGATTCCGTTGGATGGTGGGTGCGGAACCTGAGCGATCCGCTGAGAAGTTGACTAGGGTGACTGGATGAGGGCGCCCCGAAATACCGGGGAAGGCAGGATTTCGCCGGATAGCGGCCACGGGTGAAGATATGCCCCCCTGTCCCGCACACCTATACACACCTACACACACCTACACCTATATACACCCATACACACCCATACACACCCATACACACCCATACACACACATACACACACATACACACACATACACACACATACACACATACACACACATACACACCAAACTCGTATCTTGTCCGCGCATGTCAAAGTAAGAACGTGTGTCCGGGGGCCCTCCCTGTTGGGCCCTACAGAGCTGCGGACCGGGCACCAGCACTGGGATGGCTGGGTGGGTGGTGGGATGGGCAGATGCGCGGGGTGCCGTGTCCGGGAAGACGTCCCCCCCGGGCTCCTCACCCCCCCCCCCAACCCCCCTTTTGACCACCCAGGGGGCCCCGGGGGGGAAGACACCTACGTGGAAGAAGACGGTGAGCACCACTGCGAAGGCGGCGCTGATCGCGGCCCCCGCGAATAGCCGCTGCCTGCGGGCAGGAGGACGGGTGCATTGGCGTGTGTCTGTATGTCTGTGTGTGCTCGTGCTTGCTTGTGGTATCCATTGCACCTGTCTGCGTAAGTGTGTTTTTGCGTGAGCTTGGTTTTTCTGCCCCTTTGAGCTTGTGCTTGACTGCTTGTGTCGTTCTTGTTCGTGTCTGTCTCAACATCATTGAGGTATGTGTTGTTCGTTCGGGTGGGTTTTATAAACGATAGAAAGATATTGCGACGCAAGAGGAGAAGCATTTAAGCTTAACGGGAGGGCGGCAGCCGAATGTACGGCACGACCAATGGGGAACCAAGGCAGGTAATGACATGCAAATCACACCACGAAACCCAATTCAATCGACGGGTACGCGGAAAGAACACGAACACGTTCCCCGTCCCCTGGCCCCCTCCCCTCTTGCCCCCCCTC